TTCACACATATGAACTCAAAAGCTTATCTATCTAAGCAGTAAGTAGACAACTTTACATTCGTAGAAATTTGCACCCAAAGGTGCACTTAGTGGTCGAAGAAGTTGGAATAAAAATCAATGGAGACAAGGGTTCAAATCCGAACAGAGGTCAAAAGAATTAGGTGATTTCTTACCATTTGCTTAAATGTTGGTGGATAGAGTTTTCAATAGCTATATGTAATACCCGAATGGAATATCAAGGACTCAAGGTAGGAAGTTGGGCCTGACACTACCGGTATCAACAAGACATATGCACCTTAGTGGTGAATAATTTGAATTAGTAGATAAAAATAAGGACTTAAACTCAGCAATAACATTTGAGGCTGAGGAAATGGTTTTTCTTTTCCTTCTGATAAGTAAAAGGTCATTCAGATTAACAGCACCAAGTGAGTGCTGGAAAAAAACTGTACATGATGTATGACTTAGTCTCCTACTCAAAATATATGGAGTCTTGAAGTAAAACGGAGTGTCAAACAGATTAAAAGGTGTGTCAACGTGATGTACATCTTTCATCTGACACCAACAAAGAAGAAAATTTGGGACAAGTAAATATTATACAATGAATTTCAGTAATCCTTTCAATAATCTGGAACTTCTTTCCTTTTGTATTGTCCACATAACACACAGGGGTAGGCAGTATGCTGTTCCATATTGTCGTCAGTTGCTTTGCAGTACTCTTCCTCTCCAGCAACTGATTACATCCCTTACTTTGCTGGTATCATCCATCTAACTCCCAACATCCTTCAAAGCATTCTCCATAGATGGGCATGGGTACAGTGAAGAAATAGATGTTCCGAGTCTTCTTCTGCACTATTACACAGGTAGCCTCTGCAACAAGATATGTATCCCCTCCACGCCTTTTTCTTTAGGGTGAAGCAGGCTTTGTGCATCTATCCATGTGGAGCACATTACCTTTAGGGGTGTCTTGTTCTTCCACAACCTTTTAGGGCTAGTTGCTTCCTCTGGCACTTGTAACAGCAGGTTATAACAAGACTTAACCGATAATGAGCTGCTCTTACCTGCTTTCCATGTGTGTGAATCTTGTGAGCCAAGGCTTGGGGCATTCTCCAGAGGGTTTGGCATTTTGGGCCACACTTTTTATAATAAGATCCTGATAATTTCATTCAGGATTATAGTTTACCTGTCATTTAATCGTCAGCCTTCAGGAGAACTTTTTGCTCCATCGCAATGCAATACTGGTCAGGAAATGCTTCCTTGATGGACTTCTTCTAACCATGTTTTCCTCCACATTTGATCTTCTTTTTATTAGCAACCTTCAGTTTTACTAGTGTTTGAAATTCATGCCATAAGCTCCTTATGCTCTTCCAAAGAGCAACGCAATATGTTAGGGTTATTGCCCTGGTACACCAAGGGCTGCGCATCCTATATTTTGCACCGAGTACCTTTCTCCAGAGGGCTTCTTCTCTACTGAATCTTCATAACCATTTGAACAACATGCATTTGTTCCGAAGACTCTAGTTTTTTTTTAAAAAAATTACTTCTAAGATCCCCTCTTTTTTGGTTGCTGTTACGTTAGATAGTTTCACCGAGTGGATCAGAATGTCCTTCCCTTAGGAAACTGCTCCTTATTCTGTTCAATGTTTCTCACCATATGCAGACATATGGAACATGGTCACTATAAATGTATGAATGCTATCCAAGATAATATTAGGATTAGCATGATTGCTATGGATTCATATTATTTCCTTAATTTGGAAGTCTCTTTTCCAACTTTTCATTCACATTCACACCTTGCATATGAGGTTCCACCTGATATTTTCCTCCCAAAGGAAGGTCCAAGCATACTTTTGGTATTTCTTCTACCCTACAACCCAAAGTGTGCTAATTCCTGTTTGTTTCTTAACTCGTTCGTTTTAAACAAAGACCTCTTTCTAACATTTATATGTAACCCAAATCCTCAAATGAAATCAAAATGACCCTTAAGTGTTGTAATTTTTTCACTTCTGCCGCTAGATATAGTAAGAGCCTTAGCAGCATAAACTAAAGAACCTCCGGTTTTAGTCTTTTAGGTAAATCCTAGTTTTCCTAACCAATCCTGTACTATTACTGGAATGAAATAATTCTGATTAAACCGGAATGCACACATGATTATTTACTGATTGATCTTAGGACAATAGACTAACATCAGGTGGAAGTTATTTATATTTGTATACTACGTAAAGGATACCCATGTATTGGTTAGATAAACAAAACTATGTTATATAAGTTGCTTTGATTGAAGAAAGATGTTATGCATGTAGTTTCAAAAAAGATGATGTTATGCATGTGAATGCCTTTTTAATTTTCCCTACATTTGGATTTCTCTTTTTTGTCAATAGAGGTCTTGTACGCCTGCAAAGGAAAAATAAACTAGAGAAAAATGGAAAATTCAAACAAAACCTTTTCTGTCCAGGAAATTTGATCAGTGGAGGAAGTTTATTCAAAACTATTCCTTGAGTATTGTTTAATGACATCCAACATCTAATTGGTGTTGATAGGCTGCACCAATCATTACCACCTCTGTTTTGAGCTTTTCCTACTGGTATTAAATTAGACGTATTTCCATCTGTAGTAAATTGGCATTAAGACTTTGGTAGTTTAATTGGAGTCAACCGTCCCACTCAATACCATTTGGGGTCACTTGTCCTCCTTGCGCTAAATTTAATTGCAACTTGTTATTGAATTATAACACAAAAGCATCTTTCTTTATTCCTTAGCTTTTGTTGTACATTAGATTATTAGTTTGTGCAAGGATTGCAGCTCTTCAATCACCATTACACTAGAAGTTTAAACATCAAGTTACTTATGCTTTTTAAATTTTCTGGAGTTAGATAATGGCTTTGAGGAGCCACTATGCACTCATAAACAACTTTGGATGACATATTGACAGATAGATCCTGATATTGACTTTCTTTGTAATATTGCTTTATAATTAATTCTGTTGGCTAGATTCATAGTTGTCATTCTTCTCCGTGCTTTCTGCTATTGCATCTGTCTTAGACTCTTAGGTGGAAACTTGATGTGCAACATAGCGTATTCTCTGTACGCTTCTAAATTTGAGGACAAGATTAATTGTCATCATAATGTTTCACAGACTGTCATTTTAAAAAAATAAAAATTGTCACAAGCAAATAGACAAAATCTGGAGAAGGCTCTGGGAAATGCAATTTGAGTATCCTGTAAAAAATGGGTACTGTGATTATTCACGCAACTTCAGGAGCGTCAGGACCAATTATGCTTCCAGAGGTTCAGTTGTTGTAAAATATGTTTCCATATTCAACCGCATAATTACCTAAACCTGCATTATGTTATCCTAAAACCTTAGTTATAGAAATCATATTTGTTGAGAAGTAAGCGTAAATGACCGTTGCTAATTAGTTTCCTTATTTATACCTTTATCAAGCTCCTAAAGAGGCTTGAAACTAGAAGTCCTTTATCTTTAGAAAAGTACGATTGAACGGTTTATTAGAGTTTTATGATGTTCTTAGTTGAGCGTGAAAAATATGTCTTAACATGTTACTTTGTATTTTTCAGCTATCAGCTTGCTATAAACTTTCAGGAGAAAGCAATTGAGGCTTGGGAAGGCCATGGTCCAAGCGCAGTAGATGAACTTAAAGAAGCTCATCGACTTCTTGAACAACTGAAGAAGAAAGCTTCTGGTGTATCCGATAGGAACATGATGAAGGCCTTGCCTTTGGCTAGTTCTAGTGAACAAGTTGTAGTTTCAGCCATTGAAAGGCAAAGAAATGCAACTAAAATGCTGAATCAATGATGTTCTCCGTAAGTTTATTAATCTTCTCTTTCCCTTTTTAGGAATAAAACTATACCTTTTGTTCGTTTGGTGTATCATCTTCACTCAAACCTTTTCTTATAAAGCTTCGCTAAGGATATCAAAGATATGAGATCATTCGGTCTGCGACTTTCATCTACATTGAGGTCTCTGTCATGGTTTGGTTCTGAAAACCACTTTGATGTGTTTGAATAGTCGTTTTAATAGCAAAGTTTTTGTATTCTTTTTGGTGTTGTTGCTAATATTAGACGAAGAAAGATGAGCTTGGATGAAACGACACAGACAATTGAGTATTCATATCGTTGATTTTTTTTCCCCTCACATGGCATGGAAACAAGGAATTTGCCATGCTACATTTTCGTTTATTGTCTCTGCAATTTGTGACATAAATATTTGCAACACGCAGAATCTTGCATAAAAAAAATATTGTACTGTAGAAAGAGATTTTGAAATTACTTTACTTTTTTCGTATATTGTGAATCTTGATGTTTGACTTATTTTGTTAATTAATACTTTATTAGTGCGTTCACACAGATTTAAAAAACAAAATACTCCCTAATCAGCAAAGTAAGGTCCACTTTTATCATTTTTACATAGAGTTGTTTAGCTAAATAACTTTTAAGAACAGTTAGATTAGTCAACATAATTAATTGAAATGCCAGTAATAAATATTTTTTCATCGTCAATATTAATTATAATAGATTGAAGTGAGTAACTGTAAAAGACAGCTTCACATGAGTTTCTGCCTAGAAAAAATGTATTATGCTCTTCAAGTTTGACCAATTTGACAATTGTGCTAACATTATGTAAATATTTACTCTCAATAAATATAAAAATGCAAAATTTTGTAATATTATTATTAACTCCGGAGAAATATTCATTCCTTTCTTTTCTGTATCGTGAGTTCCCGAAGGGCTCCTTGCCATGATTAGACCCTTATCTCATTTCTTAGCCCATTCCTTGTGATTTTCTCACACAATACATCATCACTCATGAACTAGTACAAAATATAAATAAAATATTTTTGCTACCATTGTGACTTTACAATGATTCTATGTTTCATATATCTTCTATATTCTATCCTATCCTATTCTTGTATTAAAATAAACAAATAAAACATTTTTTCAAGAAAATTTTGAACTTTGTGGACGTGACAGTCAGTTACAGTAGGTAAACTATCAAATACCATGTTAATATTTGTGTAAAGTTGCAATAAAGAATGAAGAAAAAAAAAACAAATTGAAAGATCAAAATTTTTAAGATTCAAAAGGTAAAACTGATGTCTTAGATCTTGTATGTCCAAAAGAAAAGATGGATTTTCGAATGGATCTACTACTGCTTTCACCATTGTTTCTGAGCTCACTGATCATCTGCCTATTATGACGTATCATCTGTTGCACTGATAAGTAAACATGTCGATCTGCTGCTGAATCCATCGAAAACGATCTCCTTATTGGCTCAACTGAAAACAGAGCATCTTTATCTCTTACATTTATACACTCATCTCCCATCATTGAATACTTCCTTGTATCCAACTTATCAATCCTCTGTTCAAAGTCACTGCTTGTGCTGACAGAGTTTTGCGCCTCTGTTCCAAGTTCACCACTCAATTCAATCACCACGAAATCTTCCTCGCTTCTTCTTCTTCTCAGAAGTGGAATATGAGGATCTTGAGGTGATGAATTTGGCGCGATAATCATATCGATTGGATGTTTAGCGGTTGTACCTGAAATGCTACTTCTACAAAGAGGACAGCTAGCATTGTTTTGAAGCCAGATATCAATGCAGTCTAAATGGAAAGCATGGCTACATTTAGGAAGAAGTCTAAGCATTTCATCTTCTTTAAATTCATTCAAACAAACAACACATCTTCTAAAACTTGTTTCACCAACTCTGTTTCTGCTGTACGGATAAGTTGGAATTTCTCTTATTACCAATTCATCAAGTCCTCTGCTTTCTCTTGATGGTGTATAAGTCTCTTCGTATTGGCGTGGACGCGTATTGAAGAAGCGTCTTAATGGGTCAAATTGCTGCCAGTTGATGCAGCATTTTGTCACAAAGATGTAGTAACTCACTAGCAAGAACCCTATTGCCATGATTCCTAACATCGCAACGCCAATTATAGGGAAGCCGTTTTCAGAAACTGCACCCGTTGGAGTTAAGTGTGTTACACTCGTGTTGTTGTTGTTCTGCTGGTTTTTGAATGAAACAAGAAACTGAATGAACATATGTTTATGCGATGCTGCTGCTGCATCCATCACTACGGTAACGAATAAAGAATATGACGAGCTATGCGTTTTATGAGAAAACTTGGAAAGTCAAATATGAATAAAGAAATAAGAGCATTGAATGGAGACTTTTGAGGAACACATGCAATTAATTATGTGTAATAATTGATGTTCAAGATAAAATAAAGTGTGTGTTTGAAAATGCTGAGACATGTAGTTGGGAGATGGAGTGAACAAAAAATGCAAGTTGACTATATTATTAAACTAAGAGTATGAAACAGACTTCACATTTCCACTTGGCCTCTGCTCCATTTCTTTTTTGGCATTTTATTTTTAAAATATTTTTTACTTGTCACTCTTAACCTAGTAATTTTTCTTTTCTTAAAACATGAATCTCTAGCCCTGTGGAGTCCTTTTCCCTCTCTGTATTTCAAGAAATCGATTTATACAGTGACAAGCCCTGGGTTTAAATTGCTACTCCCGTGACTCAAATTATATGTTATTCTAAAAGTTCATATAGAAAATTAATGTGCGATAGCATTATACTATTTATGGAATGTTCAACAATACTTGTTTACTTTATGAAATCAACGGATAATTTTTAAGTTTAGTTTCTAACTTACCCTTATCATTAATTGTAGTCGTTTCTAATTACACATTTTCAAGACATTGTATTTATTATATGCTAAGAGTGATATACTCCTTCCGTCTCATTTTATGTGTCACCTTTCATATTTCAACATTTAAATAAGTCTATCTTTGGCCATAAATTTTTCATAGATCTTTTAGATATTTTGAATTATCAATTATACCGGTCAAACTTTAAATGTCCGACTCTCAAAAAAAATAAAACGTGTTATATAAATTGGGACAGAGGGAGTCATAAAATTACCCTTCTATTGATAGTTTCTTCAGAAATGTACAAAATTAATAGTAAACAACTATTGTTGGACAAAATTAATTAGCGTCTTATTAATATTCCAAAATAGAATAGTAAACAACTAGTCAAATATAACACAAAGTAGATTGAAACTTAAATATTTGTGGGAAAAAAACATTAAAATGTGACATTATTTTCTAGTGTAGATAGGGGAATGGGATGAGTCATAAATGTAGAAAATATGGTTGCCTAATGATTCACAAGACACAAAAAGTAGTACTTGAAGTATGTTGCACGATTCCTAATTTGAAGTGAAAAAGAGAAATGGACCCTAATATCAACATCAATACCGACCAAATGGTCCATGCAACTCTAGGCGTGGGTGACCTCATGAACACTTGGCCTTTCAATCTCCACACTTTCGACTAATAAGTGAATAGCAAAATAATCGAAATGAGAAAGTGAGTTCAAGATTTAAATTATATTTGATAACTTGTCTGTCGAGTTCAAGATGATTGGATCAAGTTTGAACCTGTGAATGCAGACTAAATTAAAGTTTAGATTTTGGAAAAATGAGACATTACTTTATTATTATTATTATTGCTTTCACTAAGACCATTGTTATAGTCTGAAGTTTTACACATTATTTGTTGTAGTCTACTTCTCTTTACCTATATGTACATACATATTCAAGAAATTATTGTCAAACAAAAATACTTATAAAAATTCTATGATAATGCATATCTTTGAATATAATCTAATTATTTGTTGTATATGAAAATGTGTTCTCTTTCGAAATTTTATAATTATATTTGAACATGCTTTTTATTTAATTGTAGCAATTGATTATTGTTAGTCTTTTTATATATTTAGTTTTCACTCCTCAAGCCTAATTGCTTCAAATGAGAAGATATCAGGTAGTTTTTTTTTTTTTTTTTACGATTTTGTTAACATAATTTTTTATTTGTATATTGGGGGTATAATATTGTATATCAAATTTTTAAATAACGCGGTATATTGAGTGTATTATATTGTATATCAAATTCTTAAATATTGTTGTAAAAGGATACATGAAAGTTTTGTATATTGTTATACACCGGATGTATGTTTTGTATATTGTTGTAGACCAAATTTTTAAGAATTACATAATTTGACAAACAAGGGATATGTATTCAATTTATTACACATAGAATTAACAATTCATAGCTATAATTAGAATTTCATATGAATTCCCCACCCCGTATTTCCCGCCTAATACAATGTTCAGATTGCAAAACAAATATATATTTTACTTTGTGTGTGTTTATTTGTATTATGTCAAATATAGGCTAGAGATGGTGGACTAGATCTCTCTTCTTCCTCTTCGATTTTCATACTCACTCTCAGTATGATTAAATGAGGGAGAGATACAATATTGTATCAATTATATTCTAAAAGAGTATACAACACATAATATAAATGTATAATAAAGTTAAATACATTGATACAAATCTATAGTCTGTTGCAGTTACACTCAAATATGCTGACACAAAATGTACACGAGGAGAAAAAACACTTGATATACAAAATGATTAGACAATTAAGATATGTTGATCCATATTTATTTATCAAAGAAGAGCCAGTTACTGTTGATATATCGAACCAATAATTATTCCATACAAAATTGTATACATGTGACTTTGTAACAACATCTTTCACAAATATTCATTAAGGAACATATGTGTATTTGCTCATTTGATAAGATTGTGTAAGAGTAGAAATAATCTTTTGATAGTCTTCTAAAATTTAATACAACTTAAGAGATTAAAATTGCATGTCCATATAAAATTCCAACTTCAAATCGACCTAATATGATCAAGTTATACATTTGAAATCATGTCCAAACCAGCATTAGGTTAAACATCATTTTGTATGGCATCAGTATGAGCACCAAAAGCTTTGGAAGCATTGATAAAATCTTTGTAGAGAATTGATTTGTAGAGAGGTGGATTAGATTCATTCAACAACACTTTTGCTGGCTCAACAATGCTGTTTGGAGTTGGATTCACAAATAGGGCTATTGATGTTCTTGCTTCCTTTGAATTTGTTACTGCTCTATGCATCACACTTCTTAACATCCCATTGCTGATCATCTATTTCATTCATTAAAATTACATCAAAAAAAATATAAAAATTATGTGAGAGAAATCATGTACACATGTGTATAATGTGAAGTGTTCATAAATATATATAACTTAGCTTCAACTGTCATCTATGTCCTCAAATTTTGGGTGTGCATAAGCAAGCACTTAAATTTGTCTAGAATTGAACAAGTATACACACTGTCCTATGTGACATAATACACATACGACGCTACATAGAACACAAAATTGTCATGTAGGACGCCACCTAGGATGAATGTATCTAGTTGTTCAAATATTTTGCAAATTTAAGTGGCTACTTGTGTATACTCAAAGTTGAAGGACATAATTGTCAGATAAAATCAAGTTAAAAAGATATATATGTTTATGCATTAATCTAAATAAAAAATTAATGATATTGTAATTATTATAATCTTATGTATATACACATTGACTTAATTATATTATGAGTTTAAAAAGTATATGATAGGTACATACCTCTAATTGATTGCCTATGTTTACAACAAAAGCATTAGGCACAGCTTCAACACACATCCACTTTCCATCTACCAAAACTTGAAGTCCACTTACATTGCCTTGATATATTATTGTTATGAGGCTTGGATCAAGATGTTTTAGTATGCCTAAAGTCAAGCTTGGATCTGGACATGGTGGATAATTATTTGCTGACAATAATTGAACTTGGCTTTGTTCATCAAAGTAGCCTGATTCAATTCCTAATCCTTGCCCTATTAGCTCCAAAATTGTCAAACTCAGCTTCCTTATTTCCGCAACATATCTTCCCACGACTTTTCTGTAATTGATGATAAAAATTCGTCAGTTTCAATTTCTACTTGAATGTAGCAAGTAGTCTGTTTAGCCAAGCTTCTAAAGACTACCTTATAGTCAAGCCCAAATTGTTGCTCTAATATTATCAAAAGTACTTTAAAATTGATTAGCTAAACACAAACGATTACTTTTGAAAAAGTAAGAAGATTTGAAATTTTAGCCCAAAAAAATACTGCTTGATCCACCAAAATTGGATGAAAAGTGGTTGAACAACAACTATTACACTATAACAAAAACAATGACATTAATAGAGTGTCTTTACCGGGATTAGTTAAGTGTCATTAGAACCAACGTCACTAAAGGTTTTAGGGACAAATATCAAGAGTGGTAATTGCCACTAAAAATACATATTTAGCGGCTCTAAGGACATTTTTGATGTATTGTTACTGTTTATTAATTACCTGTAGCTAGCTGGTTTATCTGGCCAACTTTGCATGCATTTGTGAAGAGGGTGACAAGGGTGTTTTATATTATCCCTCCATAAATGAACACCATTTTTAACCTCTTCCTCACTCCCTGTGAACATCCATCCTTTTCTGCTTGCTACATTCACTTTATCTTCATCAGTTATGTTGTTGAAAAACTCTTCAAAGGTAGATAATGCTTGAGTCGCCACGTTCTCTGAGATTCCATGGTTGATCACCTACGGAAACAAATTCAGGATTTGAATATTATGGATTCAAGTTTGAAATTCTATGATCACATGATCATATACAATTTAGTAGATTCAGATTACCTATAATTATTTGTAATTTGTTCACACCAAGTAAAACTTTTTAACATATAATTAATCAAGGTCTAAAGTAAAGTTACTAAATTCAAATGAACTTATTTGACTATGATCACCTAGAATTTTTTGAGTCTAGAGATCGAGATATATACGAGACACACATATTATAAAATTTATATACATATAACATATAATAGAGGAAATGAAATTTCCACGCCACTTACAAATTAAATAGAAGAAAATGATCTGTTCAGATCTGTTATGTATAAAAATAAAGATCTATTATAAAAAGGCCGTAAAAATTTAATAAAATTGTAAGTGAACTAGAAAATCAATTCTCCCCAGAGTCTAGGTCAAAGATTTACATCAGATCGAATCGTTTAAAAATACTAATAACATTAATACTAAAGAAAAGTTGATCTATACATGCCTGGAAAAACCCAAAATCTTGACCAGCTTGCAAGAGTTGCTTTATTGTTTCATTTTTTTGTGATTTTCCAACATCAATAACTGGGATTTTGGTGCATATTGGTATATGAGCATCACCTGGTCTTTCTTCATGGGAAAATGTAAAGCATTGAGGCACACATTCAACATTGAACCATTTTGTGTTATGTTTCTCCATAATTGTTCTCAATTTTTTTTTCAATTCAAGCAAATTTAAACATGGATAGTGTATCTTATGCTATAATTTATAATAATTAAGTACATGTGCTTGCTACTTATGCAAATAGTTTCTTTATTGATTAATTAAAAGAAAGAGACGTTATATACTTTTAATTAATCAATTAGCCCATAACTCACATGACTATTTTATTGCAAAAATTATTTTCGTAGTTATCACTCCAACCTTAATTTCTTTGACATGAAACAACTTGCGTTTTTTTTAAAAAAAAATAAAATAAAATTGTAGCCGGCTATGGAGTTTCTTTGAAAAGAAATAATTTCGAAAAAATATTTAGTCTATTTGATCGAATTGATAGATACCAAACCCGATCCATTCTTTAGATTTGATCGATAAGATGACAAAAAAAAATGAATTGGTTTGTTATTGATTCTAAAAATCTCTATAGTGATTTTAGCAATTCAACTTAAGATTATGATTAAATATATCGTTCAATGATGGCGACATTATTTTATATGTAGACCACTTGATATAATATTTGTCAATTGTCACATACAATTATTGTTTAACTATAATCAAAATTATATTTAACTAATAATTTTTCTCTTTCATACCAATAGTCATATTATTCAAGTACAAGTTGTAAGTAGTAGACATTTGAACATTATATTTTTTATGAAAAAATACATATACTCCTAGTATAATTACATAACTATACTACACTAAGTGACTAACCTTGTACTTAGGTGAGAGTTGATGGCTTTCACCAATACTGCTTTAAGTGAATCTGAGGGAGCAAAATAGAAAGGACGAGAGTTACGATTTTCACACGCGAATCAATGAAAAATTTATGTTATAAAAATATGATTTTAGTTTGTACTCACTTCTCACTAGGAAGCTTTCTAATTTTTTCGTATAAAAACAGTACTATTTTTTCTTTTCTCACTGATTCAGTCAGAATATTTATGTAATTAATAGCTAATAAATATTTTTTTAGTAGAAAATAGTAAATTTTATAATAGCGAGTTATTATTGATTGAGGTAAAAAATAATAGAAGTCACTTCTAAAGTGGATCCTATAATTCTGAACTCCGCATTTGTTGATGAAATCTACAAAAAATGTTTCAACTTTAAATACCAAATTCTTTAAAGAGTATATTTTTGAAATTTCAAATTTAACTCATACGTATATTTTATATATAAAAAACCAACTATTTTTTTTTTAAAAAAGACATGCACAACATGTATTGGAAATGTTATATCAAATACCTTATTACTTGTATGAAAGAAAATAATCTAACGAAGATTAAAATAATATCAAATATCACAAAGGTAAATTTAGATATTAAAAAAACAATAATTCATTTAAAGATACTGAAAATGATTCTTCCAACAACATGAAGGGATTATTTATACACAATAAAGAGTTGGAATAAAAGTTTTTGATAGTTTTCGCAACTTAAAAATATAACTTAAAGACATCCAAACTTCAAATCAACCTAATATGATCAAATTATACCTTTGAAATCATGTCCAAACGAGCACTAGGTTAAACATCATTTTGTATGGCATCAGTATGAGCACCAAAAGCCTTGGAAGCATTGATAAAATCTTTGTAGAGAATTGATTTGTAGAGAGGTGGATTAGATTCATTCAACAACACTTTTGCTGGCTCAACAATGCTGTTTGGAGTTGGATTCACAAATAGGGCTATTGATGTTCTTGCTTCCTTTGAATTTGTTACTACTCTATGCATCACACTTCTTAACATCCCATAGCTGATTATCTATTTCATTCATTAAAATTACATAAAATAATGTTAAATTTAACCGTGATTAACAAATTTAAAGTTTTATATGTGTATATATATATAATAAGTAATTGGCACATACCTCTAATTGATTGCCTATGTTGACAACAAAAGCATTAGGCACAGCCTCAACACACATCCACTTTCCATCAACCAAAACTTGAAGTCCACTCACATTGCCTTGATATATAATTGTTATAAGGCTTGGATCAAGATGTTTTGGTATGCCTAAAGTCAAGCTTGGATCTGGACATGGTGGATAATTATTTGCTGACAACAATTGAACTTGGCTTTGTTCATCAAAGTAGCCTGATTCAATTCCTAATCCTTGTCCTATTAGCTCCAAAATTGTCAAACTCAGCTTCCTTATTTCCGCAACATATCTTCCCACGACTTCTCTGTAATTGATGATAAAAATTCGTCAGTAATTTAATTCAATTTCTACTTGAATGTAGCAAGTAGTCTATTTAGCTAAGCTTTTGAAAAGTCAAAAGTATATATTTATATAGAGAGAGAGATTTAAGGTGTTTGACTTTTTTTTGTGTGTGTGTGGGGTGTGGGGTGGGGGTGGGGGGTTCAAAACACAAAAAAATTTGGGGTCTTAGTATTGTTTAATTACCTGTAGCTAGCTGGTTTATCTGGCCAACTTTGCATGCATTTGTGAAGAGGGTGAGGGTGTTTTATATTATCCCTCCATAAATGAACACCATTTTTAACTTCTTCCTCACTCCCTGTGAACATCCATCCTTTTCTGCTTGCTACATTCACTTTATCTTCATCAGTTATGTTGTTGAAAAACTCTTCAAAGGTAGACATTGTTTGAGTCGTCACATTCTCTGAGATTCCATGGTTGATCACCTACAGAAATAAATTCAAAATTTAAAGAATATAGATCCGAGTTGAGATTCTATCTCATCACATGCAATTTACTATATTCAGAATGTATTCATATTTGTTCATATCTAGTGAATATTTTAATATATAGTCAAGTCGTCAAGATCTAAAATAAAAGTTACTAAATTCGAATAAACCTAGTCACGTCCGCCTCTCATCACATGCAATCTTTTTTAGTTTAGACTCTAGAAGTGGATTAAAGATTAAAAATCATGCATATATTCAAATGAGGTTCAATTTAATTATTTTAGACACATATTCATAATTACATATATTATACTAATTTATTTATTTATTTTTCATATATAATATATACGGGGTTCAGGTCAAAGACATAGATCCACACTAAATCTTTAAAAACCTTCTTGTTTTTACTTTGAAACAGCAACATACATCCGATACAATTTCATAAGTGATGTCTAGCAAAGAAGGGAAGGATGTACGCATGCAGACCTAATTACCTCTACCTTTATGAGACAGATAGGTTGTAATTTTCTCATTTAAGAAAAAAAAAGAAAATATCATACCTGGAAAAATCCAAATTCTTGACCAGCTAGCAAGAGTTGCTTGATTGTTTCAAATTTTTGTGATTTTCCAAGATCAATGACTGGGATTTTGGTGCATATAGGTATATGAGCATCACCTGGTCTTTCTTCTTTGGAAAATGTAAAGCATTGAGGCACACATTCAACATTGAATCATTTTGTGTTATGCTTCTCCATACTTGCCTTCAAATCTCCTTCTATTCAAGCAAATTTAACTATGGATCAGTGTATCTAGTGCTATAATTAATAATAATTAAGTACATGTGCCTGCAAATAGTTATTTAATTATTTCTTTTTTGATTAAATTTAACAAAAGAAAGAAAGAGACATTTATACTTTAATTAATCATCTATTTTATTGCAAACATTACATTCTTAGTTATGTATCATGTTATCACTCCAACTTTAATTATTTTTTACACTGAAATATTAAAACAAACATACTAGTGAAATAGGCATAAAGGAGGTTTGTAGCTTTACCTGCCATAGCAAAGAACAACTAAAAATGAGCTAGGTTAAGTCTTCTTCACCTTAAGCTTATGACGGCTAACACCTTATGAAGTGTGTTTTAGATTAAGACAGAAGAGAAGACTTAATCTCATATTTATAGACATAAATGTTTTAACCTAGTGTGTATTCGGGTTACTAGTCTTCAACAAGCCCACAATATTATCAGCCCATAGATATAACATGAAATGGATATAAGCCCATAATGAAGAGGTAAAAAAAAGATAAAATCATAAAATTTCTCACAAAGACATTTGAATTTCTACCCAAAATTGCATAATAATAATAATAATAATAATAATAATAATAATAATAGTCATGCCAAAACTTCATCAAGATTGCATGATAAATTATCATGTCAAAACCTCATTGATATATTGATATGTCTTGCAAAATGATTTCACTCTTCTTAATTAATTGTCCACTTTTAAATTGACACACCTATTAAGATAATAATTGACATGGTAAGTTAATAAAATTTACCCCTTTTAATTATGCAGTGGATGAATTAAAAACTTAAGATTTTCAAAAAGTTTTACCTTTTTCAATATAATTAATTGAGAATATAATAAGTAAAATCATCATTCTTTTTTTATTTGTAAAAATGGTCAAGTAATTAGATACAACTAAAAAAAGAAAATTAAATAAGTAATTCGGAATAACTAAAAAAAAGAAAATGGAAACAGAGGGAGTATCAATCAAAGTATTGGGTAATTTTTTTTCTATAAATAGGCATATGTTTGTAAAAGGAAGAGAATCCAATTATCATTCATTTATTATTAATTCTTCCTTATTAGTTTTTTAAGTTCTCTAAGGAGAAGAAAAGAGCTGGAGGGTGTTTAGATTAGCTTAAAAATTGATCAAACTTATTTTTAAGTCAGTTTTGATTTTTCAAAGTGTTTGACAAATATAAAAAATAACTTAAAATAAGTAAAAGAATTACTTAAAATAAGTTAGAAAGTGTTTGACAATCTCAAAAATCATTGAATTGAGTAAAAAATTAAAAATAGGTCACCCCCCCCCCTTATTTTTTATTTTTGACTTAAAAGTTATTTCAATTTGATTTTTTATTTTTACATAAAAAACTATTTTTTTAAGTCAATCCCAAAGGGCTCTTAATCTTGGTCTCTTTTTCTAGTCTTTTTCTTTCATTAAATTTTTGTTAAATCTATTTTTAATAATGGAGTAATCTTTTTGTGTTAGGGTAGTTGATGAAACTTGATATATTTATCATACTATCTCAAAAATTTGAAATATCTTTGCCTGAAAATTTTCATTTTTATTTTTATTTCAAGTTGTGCTAGAAGAATAATTTTCAATTAATCAATACTATCATATTTAAGTATCTTTTTTTTCTTTTCTCTAAGTTAGTTTTATATTAATTTTATGACCAAACACCAATGCCGGACTACCAATTAGTACTAACAATTATAGCATGCATTTTGAAGAACAAAAATAAGGTGGAACAACATAAAAACATATACAATTTGAGTTTCTTGTATGTGATATATTTTTCTTATAATTGTTGAAAAACATTCTTTACTTTTCATTTTCATATTACGCAGACATTTGAAAAAGACCATGCATTTAATTTGAAGAGGAAAAAATTAATGCATTAGTTGTATTATATATCAACAATTCTATTATTAGATTCTACTACATGATTTACTTTGATAACTTTTTCCAATAACATCATTATTTTGTCGTTTTCCTATTAGAATCATTATCTTGTTGTTTTCCTTGTAATCTTTGTCTTGTTTGGTCAATTGATATTAAAAGGCTACCAACTTATACACACAATATATATTTTCAATACAAATAAATTTAATTTAAAATGTAGAGAACAATTACAAAATAGTGTTTGTTAAATAGAAAGATAATTATATAGAAAATAAAACAACAATCTTCTATTACAAGTAATATTGCAGTACATATCGTTTTAAATTAGATTATATTATCAACGTATATAAGTTAAAATTTTTTATATTGAAAAAATTTATAACGATTCATATAGTCGTTTTGAGTATTTGAACCCCCTATCCCTTGAAATATCCTCTTCGTAGATTTTATTGTAATTTTTAACTTGCGGAGATAGGTGGCATGATATATGTCGGGGAAGAATATCTAATTTTGGAAAAGAAGAGTTTAAAAATTAAAAGTTTAACTAAAATTAACATTTGGGATTAACAAGATTCAAATTGGATTTTGATTTTCATCAATTAAGTCCAGAATAATTTATAACTATGGTCAGTTCATACCATTGGGTTGGTTATTGGTTGATTTGGATGAATAGGTTTGACTATGGTCAACATTATCAATGGTCTCAACTGATTTGCCAATTTTGTGACCCAAATTAAATCGAATTTTCGATGGTTTAACATTTCTTTTTCTGATAAAAAGTGAGTTTAAATTTAGATTTGCATCTAATTCAAAAGGGAGAGAATCATTCAACTCTTATAAGACTATCATATATATATCATTATCAACACTTGATGTGAGACTTTTTTTTGTTCTTCAACTCCCCACATGACGTCCAGGGCCCCGGATAAATAAAGACCTAAATTGATACAAAATTAAAAAAAAGAAAAGTGAATGGTAAAATTAAAAGGAAAGATTGATTACATGGAGAATAAATGATGATGATGATGATGATAAGATGGGTTAGATTTGTAGGATTAGAGGAGATATAGACCTTTAATGAGTATGACAAAAATAAAGAAGATAACGATAAAATGATTAAAATTGAAGCATACGCAGACATCGTACCTTAATTTGCGCTAAACAACATACTTTGAAAAGTTGAAAGGGATAGATTTTCATGAATAAATGAATAAAAATTGGCACTTTTAATTAGCATCTTTTTTAACCCAAGTTTTGGACAACAAATATTTTTAATTAAGGAGTTAAATACATTGTATTTCCGTAATTTGAAAGATCTAACTTATATTCACTGATCATGCCAATAATGTTACGCTATGTGTATTTTAATATGTTGTAATTCATGTTATCTATCTTAGCATAGATACACTTGCATTATAAAATATTCTATATCATCAAATTAATTAAAAGGATAATTGTTAAGAGAACTTATAAACTAATCTTGTACTCTTTTAATAATTTAGTTAGTTAGTTAGGTAGATAGTTAGTTAGTTAGCTAATTACAAGTTAGTTAGAATAAGCAGCTTTCATTTTATACTTAATGAGATTATATATAGTGATGTAAACTCATATGTACAAAGACAGAAAATATACAATTCTTCTTCAAACTTCTTTGTAGCCTTCTTCTTCTTCTTCTTTCGTCTTCTTCTTCTTCTTTAAGCTCATCATTAGAGCTTCTTCACATGGTATCAGAGCACAGGAGAATTTGAATCTCTGTGTTAATTTCTCCATAGTCTGAAAACGAGAGTTCAAAGAGTCTTGAATTGAAGATCTAGTGTTTGTCTGAATCGAAGTCTGTTAGATGTTCAAAATCGATCAATAATGCCTTCAACTGGAGATGGAGCTTCAAGTGAAGTTCAACAACAACTTCCAGTTACAACTACAACCAAAATTGATCACAATCATCCTCTCTTTATACATCCTTCAGATACCCAAGTAAGTTATGGATCTGATGCTCATTCAGTATGGGAAGATCTACGTGAAAGATTTGATAAAGTAAATGCATCTAGGGCCTTTTATCTTCACAAAGAATTAGTCACTATGACACAAGGAACTTCTTCTGTGTCAATCTATTTTTCAAGATTGAGAGAGTTGTTGGATGAGGGTGAAACATTGATTCCTTGTCCTTCATGTGCTTGTCCTGAATCTAAGCAATACATAGAGCATTTACAATTTCAAAAGTTGTGGCAATTTCTGATGGGACTTAATGAGTCATATGCTCATGCAAGAAGTCAAGTCCTTATGCAGATTCTAGTTCCAAGTGTAAATCAAGCTTATGCTATGATTGTTAGTGTTGAGAGTCAAAGAATACATGGTGCAGGAAATATATCTTCACCTGCAGAAGCTTTATCTGAAACAGCATTGATGAGTAATAGAATGCCTCTTAGTTCTCATTCTGGAAATGGTGGATACTACAACAATAATACAGCTTCCTCAGGAATAAGAAGGGGAGTGTCTAACTTTCAGAATAACGGATATAGAAATAAGGGGTATGGAGATGGAAGAACTAGTTATTCTGCAGGAAAGTCTCAACTCTACTATGAATTTTGTCACTATAAAGGTCATACAAAAGAAACTTGTTATAAACTTCATGGTTATTTAAAGAAGAAAGGAAGAGTATCTTCTTATGCAAATAATGCTTCTGCTGGCAATGAGTCTGGAATGGTTGATTCAGCTTTAGGATCAAATACTAGAGCAAATGAGTCATCTAATGATACTACTTCAGGACAGGGTGTGTCAATGTTTACTCAAAAGCAATATTATGAGATCTTGCAGATGTTGAGAAAAGGGAAGAGTAAGGAAGTGGATACAATGGCCAATGTAGCTACTGCAGGTGTAGCTAGAACATCAGGTAATTTTATAGCTCTAATGTCTAATATGTCACATATTAACTGGATTGTAGATACTGGTGCCTTCAATCATATGGTTCACAACTTTGGTTTAATGAGTCAGTCTACAAATCTTGATGTTCAGGGTGGTATGAGAGTTAATTTACCTGCTAGTGATCAGGTGTCTATTAGTCATATTGGTGAATCTTTGGTTCTTAAAGACAAATTAGTAAAGGATGTGTTGTTTGTTCCAGAATTCAAGTATAATCTTCTATCAGTGTCACAACTAACAAAACAGTTAAAGTGTGTTGTAGTATTTTTTTTCCTGATTTTTGCATTTTTCAGGATCTCTTCAATGGGAGGGTCCTGGGGATTGGTAAAGAGAATCAAGGATTGTATATCCTCAATACTGATGTCACAACAAAGCTTTCAAATGGTCAAGTTTCTTCTGGAGAATGTGCAAAGAAAGCTGCATGTAAAAGGATTAAACCTA